AGGATATTTAGTATTTATTATTGTACATGTTTTCAGATGATTGTCTTCTTTTTATTTAAGTACAGACTTGTTACCCTGCTTGTTGTGCAGACGATACCAATTACGACCTGCTTCATAATATAAATATTATGTATGTTCTTAGTGAGACAGCTTATAGGAAACAATTGTAATTACCATTGTCTTATTTTACTTGTATATTTTTCTTTCATATCTTTTGTTTCTGTTTTGTCTCCAATAAAGTAAATAAATAAATAAATAACACTTTTATTCTGGATTGTGTGCCTGTTTGTCACCATTTTTCTATAAATAATAATAATAATACTATGCATTGTAAATAAAAAATGTGTGTCGAATATGCAACACAAAACGGTATTATTATTTTCTTATAGTGGTTCTAATATAAAAGCGAAAATTTTCCAAGCGATAAGGCTCTATGTTCGTAGCTCTTAATCCCGACATTGAGCGATAGAAAACAAAAAGTGCTTTGGTAAGCAACAAAGTTTCACGGTAATAGAAAAACTCTGGCGTTGCGTGCAAAATGAACGACATTAATCACCGGTATCGTATAGCAACACCCATAGACTATTAGATAACATTCCATTTTAGGGTTCCGTAACCGAAAGGTACTCAAATCAAAAAATACTATGACTAATCCTCCGCAGTTCGTCCATCCGTCGGACCGTCTATCTGTTAGCGGGCTATATCTTACGATTCGTAATGGGTAGACAATTGAAATTTTCACATAGTATGTACTTACGATTCGTAATGGGTAGACAATTGAAATTTTCACATAGTATGTATTTCTGTTGCCGCTATAACAAATATTAAAAATATAAATAAATTAAAAAATAATTGAGGCTCCCATATTAGAAACGTTTTATTGGCCTTTTTTTTTTTGCTCGATCTTAATAATGGTAACGCTTGGATACCCACAGAGTTTGTATTGCTATATTCGCTAAAAAATTATAACAAAATAAAATAATATTTAAAAATTAAAGGGGATCTCCCCATACAGGTGACGTGTTTTTTCATTCTTATTTTTATAGGATAGGGTTATAAACGAGCATACAGTCCACCTGATGGTAAGTGGTTGCTGTGGCCTATAGACATCTACATCTATTCTCGATTACGAATCAAAATGCAGATGCGTTGTCACCTGTGAGAACTTAGATGGAATGCCTCGTTTCCAGTAAAAAGGTTTCCGGTTCTCTACACTCACCATAGAAAACACAGCAGCATTAAGCTACTATTTGACGCTGGTATTCTGTATGAGCGTGGTCCTTCCCCGGTTGAGCCGACCCACTCGTGCTACAACTATACTACTAATATAACTGCAGCAAGGCTCTACCACGTAAAATTCGAAAAATTATTTAAAAATTACTATATAAGTAATATTATACGATGTGACGGACCCCTAATGCGCGAGTAACACTTGACCGGTTACTTGTAAATTCTTTTTCTTAGAACCACCTCATAGATGGCTAAAGGTGATATTTATTAAAATTACAAGGATTATAATATGTGCAATATTTATTTTATTTTATTTTATGATATTATAATGGGAAATGCGTTCAGCTGTGGACTTGTGACAGCCGTTCTCATTTTATAGTGTCTCGAAGCCTGTGATGGCGAGTTTACTCCGAAAAAAGGCGACGAGCTATATAAAATCATGGTTAGAAGTGGCACCTTTGTACGCTTATTTAAAATGTCTTTTACAAGTAAAATTAACGTCCAATCTTCAATTCATCTGAGAATTTATTGAAATAACATAACATAATTTTAACATAACCTTAGTACAAGAATACTTATACTTACGTGGTAGAGCCATGCTGCAGTTATATTAGTAGTATAGTTGTAGCACGAATGGGTCGGCTCGACCGGGGAAGGACCACGCTCTCACAGAATACCAGCGTCAAATAATAGTTTAATGCTGCTGTGTTTCTTATGGTGAGTGTAGAGAACCGGAGACCCTTTTTACTAGAAACGAGGCATTTCATTTAAGTTCTCACAGGTGACAACGCATCTGCATTTTGATTCGTAATCGAGAATAGATGTAGCTATGGGCCACAGCCCAACCACTTACCATCAGGACAGCTGTGTGCTCGTTTGTCATCCTATTCTATAAAAAAAAGAACTCCTAAAAAAAAGTCGCTACTTGGGTCTAAAGAAAACGTTGCTTCAGTGGTTGCTCTTTTATTTAATATTTTTAACCGTGGTAAGGTTTATCCATTTTTATCTAATTAAAATAAAGTATAATAATTATTTTAGAGTGAAATATTAAACTTTATAATTTCCTAATGATTTAACTCCCCCCCCCCCCCATGTGATGTATCAAATATTTCACCTCATTGCACGCCTCATATGCGAAGCGTTGAGGTTGTGCTCTATTCTTACCTAATGGAAATCCAGTCATTTTCAAATGTCTTTATTTTTCCACTTTTGCACTTTTAGTGTATTAAAAATACATATCGAGAAAAATGACCTGTTTTAATGTTTCTATTATTTTTAAAAGTAATTTTCTGTATTTAGGGTAAAAAAAAAACTGATTAAAAAAATACTGAGGGTGTCCGGATGTATGTATGTATAGATGGCGCACGATTATGGTCGTTAGAATTAATGTATCAAAATAACTCTTTTTTTACTAGGTTTAGAATCTCAACGCACAAGCTTCTTTTAAAAATCACTGAGTAATTTGGTTTCGTTTAATTATAATTAATGAAAATGTAAAAAAACAACTGGTACTTTTCTACAAAAAAATATTCTCATGGATCTCTTCTTTCATCTCAAATATGGAAAAAGAGATATTTTTCTTTTTATATAATCAAATGAGATTATGAGGTGTGCACTTTTGGATTTTCCAAACTTTTTAAAAATGGCGTCGCCTTGATGGCAGAACATGTTGTGAATGTTGGCAACATTATCAAAACGTTGGACGTTAATTGTACATATCGCTAATTTATTCACAGTCTTTTAAGTTCCGGCCTCTGTGAATATCATATTCCAGTACCACAAATTTACTACTTCCGCCTTCTTTATGGTGGGTTTACACTTTATGAATATGAAAGTAAAATCAAATATAATTTAGGCACACCATAATATAACGCAATATCTCATGTAATGACGCATGTCTTCGACAATGCCAGCATTTCATTGCAATAACAATCGTTTGATGCGTCATTTCGAGTCATGTTCGGAGTCATGGTGTAATGAAACATTTCTCGGTACGAAATAATGTCATATTACATAACTTTGAAAGATACTGTTTAGCACATCTCTACTAAATATATTTTGCTGTGAACTGTTAGGCCGGGTGTTCCGTTGTGTTGGCAGAAGGTAAGGTCAAAAAAAAAAGAAAAAAAAGAAGTATAGTTGTAGCACGAATGGGTAGGCTCGACCGGGGAAGGACCACGCAGAAGACCAGCGTAAAATTGTAGCGTAATGCAGCTGTGTTTTGTATGGTGAGTGCAGAGAACCGGAGACCCTTTTTACTGGAAAAGAGTCATTCCGTTTTAGTCCTCACGGGTGACAACGCATCTTCATTTTGATTCCTAATCGAGGATAGATGTAGATGTCTATGGGCCACAGTAACCACTTACCATCAGGTTGACTGTGTGCTCGTTTGTCACCCTGTCCTATAAAAAAAGAAGGACAATCAGCCCCAACACTCGGCCATCTCGGATAAAAAAAATGTTTGACTGGAGTTAATACCACAATACTATATCATAAAGCAAAAAGAGAGCAAAGATTTTATCCTAAAATAATACGAGTACTTATGGAGTGACGACCTGGTAAGATATGCAGGAAGTCGATGGATGCAGGTGGCTCAGGACCGTGCTTTGTGGCATTACTTGGGGTAGGCCTATGTTCAGCAGTGGACTTGTGAAGGGCTGTAATGATGATGATGATGATGATGACTTGTATCCTATGCACACGCTCGCCGAAAGGTTGCGCTACCCGACGAGTTTTTGTAATAGGAAAAACTGTCTGCCAAAATTTATATATGTTTAAAATAGTTTAATAAATAACATAAATAAATTTCAGATTTGTTAAAATACTTTAAAACTTAAAAATTTTTGGAATATTCAAAAGTGGCTGCCATAATTATTTTCCGATTACAGTAGATTTATATAATGAAATACTTAAATGGCATACTTTTTAAAATACTTTTGAAATGTACCCGATTTTCATACCTGACACACCTGAGTGACCCCGAATCTACCGCGGCCGGGCTTAGCTAGTCCCCATGTCTTGTTTAGTAGGTATGACAGACTCACTGAGCGAAATATAAGGTTTCTTAAAATATGTGTTGTCTGCTTTAGGCTGCCTCGTAGACTATTATTAACGTCTTAACAGCGTACAAATAACTTCCTGAGCTTAAAAGAAGCCAATTAATTTAATATTTCAGAAAAAACACTTATATTTGCGACGAATTGCTAAGGATCTCCTTGTTGTATTTTCTTGTATTTTATGTTGTATCGCACGCATATTTGCGCCACCCATCGTAAGTGCAACTGAAGATGATCCTCTTTCGCCTACATATAGATAAGACAGCTCAATTATTGCGATTAATTCAGAGGCCCCGTGAGACGTTGCAAACATTTTTCATAATGTAGATTTCCGGCATGACACGCGCTCATGAGTGACCATTATATAAATGATATGCATGTATGTGCCGTGTTTTTGTCATGTTACATATCTCAATTCCATCGGTCAGTAGATGGTTTCTTTAAAGGTTTCCTGTACTGCCCGAGTTGAATCAGACCATAAACTATAAACCATTTTTTTATTTTAACGCACGTTTTCAATGATGATGACAATGTGTGACCATTTTTGTGATAAATAAAATCACCGTAGTCCCAGCTAGCGGCATCTAGTGAGCATAAGATTAACCTTCATTAATGCGAGGAGCGAGGTATCATTATCACAGCATACGAGTATCTTAGTAAATGCTGAACTAGTTCGTGAGCATAAATTATTTAGAATTGCACACAATCGCTTACCTTCTGCGCACTCGTGTCCCGCGTCGAGATGCCCATTTTCTCGTGGTGTCGCAGCTGCACAGGATAAATGATCTGGTAGTAATGAGCGCCGATGTTGCGGACTAGATCTTGGTTCTGTTTGTACTCGCGTAACAGCCGCTCAACCTCGCCTAAGGGACAAAAACATAATATTATCAGGGGATATTATTTATTTATTTAATTACTCAAATCAAGTTTTTTTATTAGTTTTATTTAGTTTATTAGTTTTTTTTATAGAATAAGGGTTGCAAACTAGCACACAGACCACCTGATGGTAAGGGGATGCTGTGGCCCATAGACATCTATATTTATCCTCGATTAAAATTAAAACGCAGATGCGTTGTCACTGGATTGAGATGACTAAGATGACTTTGATTGAGGACTAAGATGGAATGCCTCGTTTCCAATAAAAAAGGGTCTCCGGATCTCTACACTAATCATACGAAACACAGCAGCACTAAGCTTTTATTTTACGTAACTGGTATATTTAAATAGAACAAATCTGAAACTGATGAAGAAATTCTGAAGCGGTTCAAGTTTGTTAAGTTAGGCATCCGTTGAGTCAAGATGGCTGGCGTCGGCGTAAATAAAAATAAGAAGCCACAACGATTGCGCGAGCGCAGCTTTAGTGGAAGTCGGAAGAAAGTTCCATAGTCCTTTCAGAAAAGAAGTCTTTTGGCTTAGCGCTGCCATTTGAAGCTCCAATGATAACTATCTAATCTATTAATATCCCCAAGTTCTTGACGACTTTACTAAATTTGATGTCAGATTATTTGTTTCGTATATAAATATTTGTTTCGTGCAGTTAAACTTTCGACCCCGCAGCGAAGCTCTCCGCTTGCAAATTTTTGTTTTATATCAATTAGTAATACTACAAAAATTCAATAGATACTATCGTGATTGGCCATTAGCAAAAGTCGAAATTTTGCTAGTTAAGCTTATTCTAAAGCCATGGTAGCTCAGATGGTTAACGCTCGCTGTAAATATAACAGAACGCGAGTTACCCGGGTTCGATCCCCGCCGGCACCAATGAAATTGTTAAATGCAATTTAAGTGCTGATTTACCATGTGCTCGGCGGTGAAGGAATACATCGTGAGGAAACCTGTATGTCTGAGCAATAAGATAAAAAATATTTCGAAGACATGTGAAGTTCGCCAACACGCATTGGGGCAGCGTGGCGGACACTTCTTTGCCCTAAAACCCTCTCAGAAATGAGGGGAGGCCTGTGCCCAGCAGTGGGACGTATATAGGCTGTACTTTTTTAAGTTAATTCTTGCTTGCTCTTACGACACGTAGAGAGTATCTGTATAAGTTAAGAAGATATTTTTTCTTATACTATTAGTAACTAATTAGCATGATCATTAGTAGTTTTATAATTGGCAGATTGTTAATAGTTATATATACGTGGGAGTACTTGTGTACTTCTGGGTGTTGTAGATGAAGCACGAGAGAAGAATTAATGCAGTAGAAGTGCGTTCACTAAGGAGTAAGTTAGGGCTGAATTTCAGTGACAAGGTGAGAAATTGTGTAATAAAAGAAGAATGTGGTTTGCAAAATGATGCTGTGACCAGGATTAAGATAGGAATGCTTCGGTGATTTGGTTATGTTGGTTTGGACATGCAAATTTTTGTTTCAGAAGTGAATAAAATCGGAAAGGGACATCCTAGGCGAAATTTTATCGACCAAATTGGTGATATATTGAAAATGGGCCAAATTAGAAGTACCCTTGACTGACGAGCATGTGTGCGTAGGTATATGAATGTGGAGGAAGCGAGAGAGGTGTGTCAGGATCATGCCAAATGAAAGTCTGTAGTTTCTGCTTACCCCTCTGGGTGACAGGCGTGAGTGTTATGTATTATGTATTTATATGTGTATGTAGATACGTGCCTTCTCGTATGTTATTGTGGAAGTGATTGGTAAGAATTAAAAAAAAATAAAAGAACCGCAAAGTGATGGCGTAGGTAATCTTCCACACCATACTATCCCACGGGTGTCGTAAGAGGTGGAAGATGGAAATTAATCAAAAGATGAGCAGAAGCATCTGCGTGTTAACAATTTAATTTAATAAATTTAAGAAAAACTGCGGTTGTCAAGCGTGGCAACAATGGAAAATATACCCCAAATGAGTTAATTTGTGTGAGGTCTATGTTCAGTAGTGGACATTCGATAGCCTGAAATAATGATGATGATGATGATGATGATGAGATAGTTCCACAATTCCGTAACGCAGTGGCTAAGTATTTGGTTGCGACGTAGCGGGTCGCGGTTTACAGTCCGCGCGGGAAAAACATTTGTATGACCTACAAATAATTGTTCCGGGTATGTTTATCGTCTCTCTTCTCTTTTTATTTGGAGATTAGGTGGGTTCAAAAACGTTCGCTTCAAAATACCCATAGTACCTGCGTATATTTTAATGAATTTAAGCCAATGATGCAGCCAAAGATAGCAAAGCGCACTGACTTAGCTTATTTAAAACTTATCCAATCATGCCTTCAGGCACATTGTAATCGGATGGAAAGACAAATGCCTATGAATACAAGTATTTACGAACAACGAAGCAAACCGTTTGGCTCGGTGCCTGGTATGTAGAAAAAAAAGGTAGAAGTTTAAATGTATCCCATATTTATTAGGTAATGTTATAAGAAATAAATAAATAAATAAACCCGCAAAGGATATCTAGCTTTGCGCCTATGCATATTCACGTCACCAATAATCCTCTTAAAATGCCTTCTCCTTGATTCCAAAGTCGCTAGGTGATTTTTTAGCACCAGCTAAGTATTGTAATTGTAAACCGTGTCCGTGATTAATCGAACTGAAGTGCAAACTGTATTCGATCCCAGCCAGAAAGTTACTCCGCCGAGATCGTCGTGACGCTCCAATGTGTTTTGAAGGAATTCACATATTTCCGAAGTATTTTCTTTTACAGACAGGTTTCTTATAATTTTTCTTTCTTTATTATTATTTTAGTGGCGTTTATTTTATATTTATTATGTCAAAAACGTTACGCTTGGATTCCTTCTCATGAATAATGTTTTTTCAAGCCTTTGTCTTTTATTAATGTATTCTTATAATATATTAACTGGTACCAGGTGCGTTGCCGCCACAAAAGAAATATTTTTTGGAAATATCGTTTTAAATTTGGAAGACTTATATTTTCTAATTAGGAATGAAAATGGATTCATTGAAACTTTTTTGAAAAATAATTGCATGATACATGACTTTAAAATAAACTAGTCAGTACGATGCGCGCGCCATCTACTGTAAGTTAATTCTATTAGGCCTATAACCTTCGCGTAAGTTCCATTAACGTGTTGGCAAATTTTTACCGCAATTTGAAGAACAGTATGGCAGCGCATAAAAAAAAACAAATGAACATTAATTTTTAAATATTTGATATTGTGTAAAATAAGTCTAATCTATGATGTCTGTTTTTATGAAATTAGGGTGACAAACGAGCACACAGTCCACCTGAGGACTAATATGGAATGCCCTAATTCCAGTTAAACAGGTCCCCAGTTCAGCATCAAACTGCTATTTTACGCTAGTAATCTGCGAAACACTACGCTGATATTAGTTTCTTCCACAGAAATCTAAATAATAAGACAATGGAAGTCGTAAAAGCGCGTGATCTTGTCACCGCACATGTGACTCGTAGGCTACAAGCGCGTGAGGAGCGTTTGTTTCGGTCACCAGTGTTGTTTCGGACGCAGAGACGTAAAAAAGGTGTTTTGAAGCATATCCGACTGCGGAAAATCTTTCACAACTTTATAAATAAATGGATAACATTTTATAAATAAGTACTTAGTGTTTTAAATAATGTTGTTTTTAATGAAATATATTTAAATAAAATTATTCACCTCCAATACTACGATTGTCTCCGAAAAGTAACTGATTTCACATTTCAATATCCATTGATTCATAAGCTAGTTCAGTCTACGAGTACGAGAGCTAAAAGCAGCGATTGATTTATAGTCTCGGTAAAAAATAATAATATTGTCGTTTTAAATTTCCAAGAAAAAGGCCGCAGGAGACCAACGCGAGTTAGTGACTTGACACTACTATTTTATATCGATAATTTATTATGTTAAGCTTACCTAGTTTTACCGAAATGGGAATGAAATGTGATTTTTCGTTAAATATTTATTTACACCTTCTCTATTTCTTTTTTCTTTCTAAATATTTTATACCGTTAACCATTATCAGCGATTATCTTTTGTTTGTATTTTTAAATTACTTGATAAATTTTTATGTAGTTTTTATATATAGTAAGGATAAGTTATTATATTGTGAGGATTAAAACTAAATTCGATCTGTAACTTCGGGTAACTGAAAAATGACAAACAATAGAAAATCAGTTACAGATCTTTAAAACTAATAAAAAATTATAAATATGTCACCCATACATATATTTATATTTGTTTGCTGTTTGTATAATGTTGTATTTATTTTATTTAAACATCTATTTATTTAATACAATGCTATTATTCTAGGTTTCCAAAAGATCCGGATATTAAAGATAAATGGATATACTTATCCTTAAAGTTTTATTACACATATTCACTTTTCTCTAATTATAAAACGTCTAAAAGCTAAAGCTAAGACTAAAAGCGTCTATTACTGAGACACTTTCAATTAATTAGTTATATCTTGGTGTGAGACTCCTGGACGATCAACGACGCTTAATAGAAAGTTATCGATAAGTGCGTTGCGCTGCACTATGAACAAAGTGATAGTGAACGCGCAATATTATTCTCTGTTTCTCGCACACGTTAATTATTGGACAGAGTGGCTACGCCTCCTGAGATTTTAGTTTTTATAAAATATACCTTAATGCAATAGTTTTATAGTTTAATCTTTGTTGCATAAATGCTAGAGATACCTTTAGGCGTAATTGTGTATTTATTGTTTGTCTATGTGTGAAAGCTGCAAACCGGCGACACGCGTCCCGATATTAAAAGACAGTAGAAGGCATTTCTAGTGTCTTATTATTTAGATTTATGTGGTGTCTTCACTACCGAACCGATTTACCAGCGCTTAAAATTGTAATGGACAAATTCATTGTTGGCTATGGGGATTGCACTCAAAAAATGACAAACTTCAAATATAATTTAAAAAAAAACAGGTTTCTTG